CGTTCGCCATTTGGTAGAGTCGCATTACAGTAGTAAACGTTATAACAGTATTCCGTCGCGCCAATGACCGAACGCCTGCGGAGGGCGACGCGAAGCGTCGGTAGAACGCACATTTAGTCACGAACGGACACACAGTTCGCGTTCAGCCACCGTAACGCGACGTAACGTTGATGGTAAGGTGATACTCTTTCGTAGCTCTCAATAAAAGAGAAACGAAAGAGAATTAAATAATAAACTTGTTGAGAAAAACAAAATATTCTTTGAAGAGAGTTCGTTTGAAACAGTTTCAAATCGATCGTATTTCATTTGATCCGGTGAATTTAATCTTGAAGAGAAAAAAAAGTTGACCGAAAAGATTTAGCGAATAAATAAAAACGGAAATAGAAAGAGTAAAGAAAAAAAGGAAAAGAAAAAAAAAACGAAAAAAGAGAAAGACAAACGTGTTTACGGTGAAAAGACATTTATCTCTGTCTATTTCTCTTTTCTCTCTCTCTCTCTCTCTCTTTCTCTCTCTCTCTCTTACTCTCTCGCGTTACTAGTGTAAATGTATTCGTGATAAAGATGTCCCGACAATCGCGAGATTTCTTAACTGCCTTCGTCTTCATCGTGTTAGCCGTTTTCACAATCACGAGTGATGCCAGGTCATGGGGTAAGTGTCTCTCATCGTTATTTATCTCATCTTTCTAATCGTTCGTAAAAACGAGAACGTGAAAAAAGACGAATCGCGGCCCGTGGTGTTTTTCTCTGTCTCTCATTTACTTAGCGGCTTACTCACACATATACAGTTTCGCTATAGCGATGATGCGGATCGCGCGCCTCTCTCTCTCTCTCTCTATCTTTACGTATGTTCAAGCAAGTACACTTGTGTATCTATAAGCGTGTGTGTGTATTGGAGCGCGCGCGCGTACTCAGGCTCCATTCACTTTAAGCTGATCGGCACGTACGCCACTTTTCGTCTAGCTCCCGCATTTTCTATCGGGGCGCTTTTTTCAAACTCGCGCGTATTATTAATTAATTCATTAATGAACAAATCTTTATTTACATTTTATTAATTTTTTTTTTATCTATTTATTTATTCATTCATTTATTGTTATCTTTTCTTTTTTTTTTCTTTTCATCAAACACCTCGTAATAATTTTCTATCTTTCTTTATACCTATACGTTCTTATAACCATTTACGTAATACTATCGTCTCAACTCGTCAACATTGTAATCTAGATTGACATAAGCTTGCGATCATTAATTAGAATCGCTAAGTATCCCATTATTTCCGATATATATGACGCCACTAGCATAAAGTCAACATACCAAAGAACTATTATATTATAATTGCTTATTGAAAAAATGTATTTTTATCATTGATTTACGTATGCACACACGCATGTATCGTTTTCTAGAATGAAATTTCTAAGAGAGATCTTTAGAAAAATACCGTTCTCTTATTGATATTCTACTTATAGATAGAATCGATGAGTATCCTTTTTATCGAAAGTGTTATCTCTTCCTTTTGAAAAATCGAACTATCTTGTAATAACTACTTCAAGATTTTCGAATCTTTAGTAGGAAAAAAAAACGAAAGAAATAAACAAATAGATAAAAATTTGTAAAATGTTAAATGTCGATATTATACGAAATAATCGACTTTAAAAAATATGTAAATAAGAAAAATTTCGTATTTTTTCTTCGTAACCCGTTCTTTTTTTGTCTGATATTAATTTACAAATTAAGTAAGTGTTACATAAAAAATAGACATTTATCTGGCTCTTCTTTTATCGCTTGCTATTTTCGTGTCGTCGTGCGCTAAAGGATTATGAGAGAAGGGTAGACGAAAAAAAAGACCGTATAGTTATATTCTTGAGAAAAAAATGTTAATAATAAGTCGTGATAAAAAAAATACATGTTTTTCTTATCTTAATCGTTAAATATCGATACAAGTTTATTGGCTATCTATTCTGTTTCAATTTACATAACAGTTTGAAAAGGAATGATCTCGAACGATTACGACGAATACGAAGAGCGACACGGGAAGGTGTGTGCGTGCTTGCACATACATGCGTGTACGTCTGCTGCTGCGGGTGTATGTGTGTATATATGAGTGTATGTGACTTGCAAATTACTCAAATATGTAAGCAAGTTCTTTATGTTAATTGATGATTTCTTTTAAACCTTTCTTTTCCTTATAAAATGAATAAGAAAAATAATTGTTTCATTTCTTTGAAATTTATAGAGGTAAAATCTTAAGATCTCATTTGATAGATCCTATACAGAAATCTCATAAATAGGGCTCTTCCAAGAAGAAAGAACTTTCGACGATCTGTTCAAGTTCTTCTTCACACATATATATACATATACGTCAATTATTAATTAAAAAATTAATTAGTAAATATGTGTATATTCGTATTGACGTCAACTTGTAAAAACTTCCTGGTTTCTCATCAATTTCCTTTACTTTTTTTTTATTTATTTTTTTATTTTTATTCCTGTTTTCTTACTTTTTTTTTTTTAATCATGAAATTTATTTGTATGATTCTCTCTTCCAACACTTAAAGACGAGTCATTTGCTTTCACTTACCGTCGAACGTACTTTCATCGCGTTACTATAAAATTACTATTATATGAATTGTGTTGTCCCCTTCGTTGTATCTATATGCGAATTCTTTTGCTTTATTTTGTTTTTTTTTCTTTCTTTTTCTTTTTTTTCGATAATAGTGGAGAAATCATACGATAAATTATTGGAAATATATCGAATATAATAAATTCAACTTATCGAGGTCGTCACAGATACTGGGAAATAACATTCGATTGTAAATAATTTCCATTGATGCTCTTTGCTTCAGGTCATCGTTTGAGAAAAAAAAACAAAAGAAAAGAAACGAAAAAGAAAATTAAACAAAGTAGTAGATAATCTCGAGCTTCGTAACTATTCACTGACACGACCTTGATATCACTTAGCACACATTCGTATATATAATCTAAACATCATTGGAAAAGGGATTTCGTTTGCAATCATATATTAATTTTCGGGTATTGAATTATAATGCGCTAATATTTTCTCATAAATACGATCAGAATGTATAATACATTCGTTTATGCGTACGTATTTTTTTTTTTTTTTTTATCACATTAACTCAATCAATCGAAATCAAAGAAACATAATGAATACGCGGAAGTCGTTTATCAAAAGATTACTCTATCGTCGATCACGATCTTAATCACGATTAGTACCAATCTAGTTTATATCGATACTGATTAACACGTTAAATACGATTAAACTTAATATTACAAAACGTAACCTTAACATTGACGTAACGTACACAGATCGTGTTATTCATAATACGATAATGATAAATGAATTGTTATCAAATAAATGTTTAATTTATCTTATATCTATCCTATTTCAGATATCGCCGTTGTGATCGGCGACAAGATAGAATTTTTCACACAAAATCAAACTCTTACGGTAACAGTCGATGGGGCCGTTTCATTAACTGGAATAGCTTACGATGATCAAACAAGAAAATTGTATCTTAGTGACTCTCATAGCAACATATCGATTTTTAGTAACGACTTAGCGGAAAAGAATTTCAGTTCGAAACCACTGTTAAAGGGTAAGTATTATTTCTTTTTCTTAACTTTGCTTCTTTCTTTCTCTCTTGCGTTCGTCCTTTTCCCGCGTAAGCGATGCCGATCACGTGATTCATGAAAGACACGAATTACGAAAAAGCGCGGTAATTCGATATCCCGTTTAAATCAATCCTTTAACGCTTTACAATTTGATATAATTTTTTCGGAACAAATTCATCATTAATTAATTTTTGCGCTATGATTTTTATTTTTTTTTTAATTTTTTCTCAATCGAGCTTTATTTGATATTTTTTTATTTTCTATGTGTATATAAATTTATAAATACATATTAATTTAGAAATATATACGTTCAAAGTAATTTTCATAATTCTTTTAAATAAATTGTTTTATTAAATAAACAAAGTATCACGTCAAGAAATAATTCAATAGTTCTATGAAAAGGATATTCGTTGTCGCACAAACGATGATTTCACAAGTGTTAAAGGTTAATGCTGTACGATAATATCCGAAGCGGATAAATTATATTTAAAATAAAGTATAATTATATTTTAAGATTCACAATACATATACAATTTCAATATTTAAACAGATGAAAAAAACAAAATATCGTTTAAAAAGTTCGTGAAAAAATATTGAATAATTCGTACTTGTATAAAAAGAAAAGAAAGAAAAAAAAAAAAGAAAAGAAAAGAAGAAAAAATAATTAATTCTCGAACAAATTATAAATTGGTATCGGTCTATATTTTATATCAGCAAAGCAAGATGAGACGAACATCGTGGCGACAGCTTTTGATACAAACTCTCGTACGCTCTTCTGGATCGACGCCTTGAAGAGAATGATCATGAAGATGCACATACCGATGGACGGTCCTCCGGAAGAACCCGTTATTCTGCATAATCTCACAGAAATACCACGTGGTATCGTCCTAGACACGTGTAACAGGTGTGCTTCATCCTCTCTTTCTCTCTCTCTTTCTTTCTTCTCTCTCTCTCTCTCTCTCTCTCTCTCTCTCTCTCTCTCTCTCTCTCTTACTTTCTGACACGTTATTCCTCATTTCCCGATACTGATTGTCTCTCTTTCTTTCTCTCTCTCTCTTTCTCCTTCTCTCCATTAGTCATATCTACTGGAGCAACAGCAACCGCAAGAATTCCACCATCGAAAGATCCAACATGGATGGTACCAATCGAACGATCATAATCAGGGGAGATCTTTACGTACCAACAGGTCTAGCAATCGATTATGAAGAAGGTAAACTCTATTGGACTGACGATGAAGAAGGTATACATGTAAAGATCGAACGTAGCAATCTCGATGGTACTGAACGTGAAAAGATCTTGAAGAATAGAAATCAACAACCTGTTTATATCGCCGTCGATAAGGATTTTATCTACTGGTCAGATTGGGTACATAAAGCTATTTGGATGATGGCTAAAAATTCCACCGATCACGAATCACCGGTCAAATTTAAATCCTATCGCAAATTGAACAAAGATTCTGATCCTAACGCCATTATTACACGAGACAACGTTGGTACCATCGATTGTTTTGCTATATCCAAAAGAAGATTAGAAAAAGAGAAACTTGCTGAAAAGAAACAAAACAGTTCTCTTCTCGAATCTTACAATAACTTAACGACTAATACCAAAGATGTTAAAACGGAAAACTCTCAATTGTGTCTCAATGGTGGTTCCTTCGATCGTATCGAAAGTTCTTGTCGTTGTAAATTTGGGTAAGACTTTTCTTCTTCTAATTAATCATTAATAAATACGTAAATATTAGAATTAATAAGTTAATTACAATAAAACGACACTTATATAGATTAATTTACAAGCATGAGTACAATTAGAAGTAATCAAATTAATAAGAATAAAATGTCGCTTGTCAATTAGCTATTAACAACGAAATTGATCTTTATGATTATATTATGGTTAGAATTAAATAAATATTTTCCACACAGATATACGGGTTCCATGTGTGAAATATCCCTCTGCCAGAATTATTGTCTTCAGGGTGATTGTATCGTTAACAATTTCGGTAAAGCAGAGTGTAAATGTATCGGCACGTTTACCGGTAAACGATGTGAAAGAGACATTTGCGAGGGTTATTGTCTTCACGATGGCGAATGTTTGGTCCAAAACAACATACCTGTCTGCGAATGTAAAAATTCGAAGGGCGAACGTTGCGAAATTCTTCCTGACATTCTTCCTGCGCTCAACGTTGACAAATCTTCCTGCGGTTTAATGTAATACAACTTTTTTTTGTTTTTTTCTTTTTTTATCAATTAATTTCCATCATTAATAAAAATCTAACTCTTTATTTTTATTATTTTATTTTTACTTACTTTTTTTCTTTTTTTTTAACAGATGTGCCGAAAACAACTATACCTCTGAAAAGATGCTAACCCTAAATGAAAATTGCGAATCGAAGACATTATTATTCGTACTTATCGCTCTCATCATTGTACTTATTATACTGATCCTCGTGATGAGTTTCTACCTGCATAAATTACGTCGTCGACCACGAATCAAGAAGAGATTCGTAGTTAGTAAAGGTGGTATTACGCCATTAACATCCAGACCACAGCTAACGGATAATCAATGCGAAATAACTATAGAAAATTGCTGCAACATGAATATCTGCGAAACAGTGAGTGAAATACCATCTAAATAGTTATTGCAATGTAGAGTAAGCGCACGTATGCGTGTATGAGTGAGAATTTATTCGATACGATCGTATAGCTATCTCACTCTTTCTCTCTCTCTCTCTCTCTCTCTCTCTCTCTCTCTCTCTCTCTCTCTCTCTCTCTCTCTCTCTTTTTTTTCCTCCCTCTTTTTTTTAACAGTATTAACGAGATCAAATATATTTTTCATTGATCATTTTTCTAAAGAGTATTGTAATCGTCTTCGTTAATTTTTTTATCGGCCAATTTATTTTTTATTAATTGTGCATCTCATTGTCGATATTTTATCACATTTTTTTTATATATACATATACATAGTATTTTTCCATAGATGACCGAGAAAATGTATCGCAATTAATTGAAATCTCAAGAAAGTTTAATAAAAGAAACTTGCACGATTCTGAATCAGCTACAAAGTGCATGCAAAATGTTTATTTTCTACTCGTGATCTTTCCGAATTATGAAGATCAATATAATTTTTTCTAAATAAATGCCTGTAATGCTTTCTTGCATACTTATATAATAGAGATCATTTGCAATTAAAATCATATTTAGTAAAAAAATTGCTACTATGTATCGTTAAAATAGTAAATTTGATAGCAAATATTTTCAAATTAGTTACGAAATATTTACTCGGACATACATGGACAGACATCCTATTTATATAGTATATATATATATATATATATATATATATATATATATATATATATATAGTGTGTGTGTGTGTATATATATATACTATATATCATCTCACCATCAGTATTTTTGATCATTCCTTCGCAAGACAACGTTGAAAATGTATTAATGATAATAATTTTTGATAGGAAAATATATCGATTTGTTAGATAAACGAAAATAAAAAATATAATAAAGCGTAATAAAGTTTGTTAACGTTAAATTTGTTAAAACGTAAATAGAACGCTTGTTGACGAGTCCCAAGTTGAATTCTCGATCGCGTATTCTTTTTCTTAAGATAATATATTTAAATTTTTTAACTCTTGCGTAATGTAATTCGTAGTTATTGAAAATGATGAAAAAACAACTTTTAGCTAATATGACTAACATTTTCATGACATTGTAGGCGAATTAGATTTTCCGATATTTCATTATTATTATTATTATTATTATTATTATTATTATTATTATTATTATTATTACTCTATTATTATTATTATTATTATTATTATTATTATTATTATTATTATTATTATTATTATTATTGTTGTTGTTATTATTATTATTATCGTCATTCTTACATTCATATTTCCGATAATAGTTGGTATTATTTGTTCAAACAGTTGACTGAAAATTTTTCAACATTATTAATATGTTTATATAAGATAAGACTTAATGGAAAAGAACAGACTTTGTTCCAATTACATAAATTTCTTCAACAGTCCTTCGACTTCTTTTCTTTTTTTTATTTTCATTTTTTTTTATATCGCTTGTTAACTTAAACGTTAATAAAGATAATTTCACGAAGAACGACCGATATCTCATTTCGGTTATTAAACTTTTCCTTTTTTAATGTTTATTCGTTTATCTTAATAAAATATATTTCTTTTCTCTATGAATTTCTTTACAAAAATATTAGCACGATAATAACAATAATCCATAAAGATAAAATATTTTAATAAAAAAATTGTAATGATCGCGTTTTAATCAGATTTTGATCAACTAATTAATTAGTTACCTCACAATTAATATACATATATATATATATATATATATATATATATATATATATCGTTTTGCGATCAGTATTTTTGTTATATCTCATCCCGCAATCAGCAGTACAAATCAATGTTGAAAATATTATAATAATAATTTACCTGAAAATCTCTCTTCGTAGTATTTGGGGAAAAAAAGACGAAGAAAAGAGAAGAAGAAAAAACAAAAAAAACTTAACGAACTTGTCAACTTAATGATAAACAATTTCAATAATTTAGATTGATTCAGATTCGAAGACATCGATCGCTGCTAACTTAGCAATGAAATAAGAAAATAAAAAGATTTCCTTTTTTTCCAGCCATGTTTTGAACCAAAATTACGAACTCCGGTGACAAAGAATAATAAAACGAAAAAGGACGAGAAGAATTCTCTATTGGATAATATGGAGGGAAATTCGTGCTAACGCAAACTAAATTTCTCGTCGTATAAAATGGCGAATACTCGACGGATTCCACGTAAGCTCGTCACGAAATTTTTGCTCGCGGTGATAGATGTCTGTATATTTTTCGAAAGACTCTATCTAGTATTGTTGTTAAGTTTGGTGAATGCATATGTGCCTGCATAGGGCAAGATGAAAGGATAAATTAACTGAACGAAAAAAAGTAAAACGAAAAAAAATATATAAATCAAGTAAAAAAGAAAGATACAAAAGGACGAAAGCCAAAGGTCTTTAAAAGAGTCCTATTCCTTATTGGGTCGTATATGTAGGGCTGTGCTTTTACAATGGTTATTTCGTTCGATTAATGAAATCATAGCGTGATTTACTTAATTTTTTTTTTTCCTTGTAATTCAATAAGTTACGTACTTAGGGGACAATTTTTTCTTTTTCTCTTTTTTTCCTTTTTTATATAGTAACGGTGATATATATATATATATATATCGCCGTTACGTTTATATATATATATATATATATTTAAAGAGAGAGAGAAAACAAAAAGTAAAGTAAAACTATACATTTAACGGATGATCTTTTTCATGCAAAAGAGGTCTGTCTTGAAGTAATTTATTACCTCATTAAACAGCAATTATCATCGTTCTTCTTCATTCGATTAAACAATGAAAAACTTATTTTTCAGAAAAATATAAATATAATTATAAAGAAATTTTCAAAAATTTTTTTTTTAATCTTAGTAATATAAATTTAGAATTGTTAGCAAGCGAACGGAAGCTGCCACATCTTGTGCATTATAGTAATATGTATATATATATATATATATATATATATATATATTATATACATATATACATATGTATATCCATATATATACGTACATATATATTATAATATATATGTATATATATTTAAAGTTTACAACAAGAGCTACGCTTAACGTAATACTTGTGCAATATATGCAAAAGCTGCCTTATAAACCAAAATAACTTGATTGATTGTTTGAAAAGTATCATAGAGTACATTCCTAAGAAAGAATGTCATTAGCTTGATTAATAATAAGTACCGAACAGGTCATATTTTTTTCTTCCTTTTATATCGAAGATTTCTGATATAAAATACAAAAAATATGAACACACAGACACAAACGAAAATATTTTCTACTTCAAACAAAAAGTCGAACCAACTCTCAAAACTTGAAGTTATCGCTAAAAATAATTAATTTCATGATCAACAATTAATTACTTACAATAAACATCAATGTATATATAATACGTGCAACCATTTGCATACATCGCAGAAATATTTTATTTTACTTTTTTTTTTTTTCTTTTTTTCTTTTTTCTTTTTTTTTCTGACGTTCATTTTCTAGTATATCAGACATTCAATAAGACGTCTGATCACTATTTTACGTTTCACATCATTATAATATATTAGATAATCATCTAAGTTCGTCCCCCACTAAGAGTACAATATATGCATACGTACATATATATACATATACTAATCTGTTTATAAACATGATATAAATATATGTATATATGTATGCGTGTTTGCGTGTACGTCTCTAATAAGGAATATACAGAAAACGCGGTATCCATATAAAATATAATGCATACACACACATACACGTATATATATATATATATATATATATATATATATATAATAAATAAATAAATATATATATATATAATAAATAAATAAATAAATATATATATATATATATATTTATTTATTTATAATGGACATACACACACACACAAATAAATTGACTAAACTTCCTGCTGTGCTATGATTAACATTAACTCTAATGGCCTTAAAACAATGAAATTTTCTGACTGTTACAAATATTATCATACTCAACATAATTGTTGCTGGAACAAACCAAAAGTTGTTCGCATGCAAGATCATACTAAGTTTTTAACATAGTGCCACACTGATACGCATATTATCCGTAGTAATAATAAATTTGTATACACATATTTACATTATTTACAGATATTTACGTACATGCATACGTGTTGTAATATTACGATAGTTAGACACGTAGATATAAAATCAAAAATTTCATTGATAACGATTCCCTTTTTTCTGATAATTGACAAATTATATATTGTGTATTTCACTTTTTTGTTAATTAATTAATTTTACAAATATTAACAAAAGATAGAGTTTAAACAATCCATTTTTTTAATCTATTGTGGAGTTTGATACCTATATTAATAAAAATATATGCTTTATCTCACCATTCCAAGACTAATTCTAAAATTCTTTTATTTCATTTCATATTCTCTTGTTTCATTATTTAATATCACATATAATGTTTATAATCGTTTATATCCTTGATATAGTTTCTAGTTCATCTTTTTAAATTAATATATGGTCATTTTATTATTAGGTATCATTCTCTCTCTCTCTCTCTCTCTCTCTCTCTCTCTCTCTCTTTCTCTTTCTCTTTCTCTCTCTCTCTTTCTCTCTCTTTCTCTCTCTCTCTCTCTATCACTATCTCTCTATATTCCTCTGAATAATAAATTATAAGACAATTTTTAATTAGAAAATTATATATAGACGAATGCAACTATTTTAATTTTTTTATCGTAAATATCAATGGGAATCGATAAATAAATCGGCCAGCTATTTAGATTATGAAACTTGTACACACCAAAGTTAATTATAATAATACTTATAACATCTTAGGCGCAGCTTGATCATTGGTTCGCAAAAATGTATCGTTTTTTAAAACTAAACATTGAAACAAACAGAATGTAACTTAATTTCAATGAAATGAAATATTAATGTTTTTATTTCTTTCGTTTTTTGACGATTTTTATGGATCAATGAATAATATACATAGTTATGACTTAATAGCGTTTATGTTACCCTTTAAAACACGGAATGATGTTCCTGTCGTCATGAAAACAAACAAATTACAATACATGACGATTTTATTTCTGTTCCTGTATACGATAGATACTACACTTATAAACCTATGATCTTTGCTTTTATGCTTATAATGTAATTTTATGCTAACAACGTGCACTATTATAGAAAAACAATCATTTATAGAACAAATGTAAAGTTACATTAAGTATAGTATACGGAAAATAGCCCTCTCCCACACACTCATCCTCAGAGAAAGGATAGTGGATTTATGGTGAAAGGGATATGTTCCTTAACTTAAAAAAAAAAAAAAAAAAAAAAAAAAAAAGAAAAAAAAAAAAACCATGTCTGTACACTATATGCAACATGTTTATGTATTATATTAAATATTGTCTATAAGTAGGGTATCTAATTACTATTACTGAAAAATGGAGTGAACTTCTTTTTTTTTCTACATCTGTATAAAACAAACTTATACTGGGTCACAAAATATTTAAAACATTTAAGTGATACTTAAATTAAAATCAACATAAGTTAGCATACAAAATGAAAATATATTCAGTGATAAAAATGGCTGTTTCTGGACAATTGTATGCCTTATACATTGAACATTTTGCATATTGAACGTGCTTACATAATGGTTATTATGCAAATTACTATTGTATACAGAAGAAGTGGAATAAAACATGCTATATCTTAAGGGTCGTTGATTATTTTTTATTTATATTACTCCTTTTCCACAGAAAATAATTGTTCATTCATTTTTATAGATTTTCTTATTTAAATATAAATTAGAAAGAGAAACTAATGTTTAAATTAATACTATAACCACCAATCAAGTATATTGAATCTAATGACCTGAAATATTTAATACTCAAAACAAATTTATTATTTTTATAATAATTAAAAAAGATCATAAAATAAATTATGTATCAGCAATTAGCTGACTTTCAGGTAAAACAATTTTCTCTCCAGGTTTAAATGCTGGCATGCCAAGATAAGGACAGCTTGCGCAACGAAAAGCATCACCTAAATAACACTGTAATAATAAATGAATGATGAAAATAATTTCAATGAACTTATACAGAAATAACCTTTTCCATGTATTAGAAAACCTTGTACAACATACATTTCCACACGATGATTTTTGAATTCCTTTCTCTTCTGCTTTACCATTTAACTCTTCCGCTAATCCACATGTACAATCCTTACATGCTTTTCGTTTACCCGTTGTACCACATACTAACAAAAAAGTATATATATTTACACATAAACCTAAAATTCATGTACAAGCAAAAAAAGGAAAAAATTATAATTTCAACCTTTTAAACTGGTGATATCAGGTTTGACAATATCATCTTCATCTAAAAGTTCATCCTCATCTATCAAGTCATCTTCAACGACATTATCTAATTTCCATATATTACTTTCTTTTTGTTTCAAATTTAAAGCCACACTAGAACCAATCTAATAAACAGACCCAATGTATCTTAATATATTATACATTAACATATACTGCTCTATAATATTAAACTAATATTACTATATACACCTTACAAACATGCTGTAATTACCTCAAAAGATGGTTTCTGTGCTATTATCTCACATGTGTTAGGAACATTTTCAAATATATTAGATAAAAGTTCTGCAATTTCTTTGTCTACTTTTCTAGGATTTATATCATTTATAAGAAAACCAGCTAACTTCAATCTAGATAATCTTTCCTTGAAAGTTAGCCTGTTCTCTAATTTCTTTTCTAATGAAAGTGACTCGTAGATTATTAGTTTACCATTTTGTTTCAATAATTTTAACAATTCTATGAGTACTTCATTATCATTTAAAGATGATTGTTTAATAACGAATAAAATCACGTCAATGGAAGATCCATTATAGTTGCCTACAAAATAATGTTGGTACATTACATGCATATAATATAATAATTACAAAAAGGGTTAAATATCATCTCTTGGGAAAATGTTACAAGAAGAAAGAAATACATATATAGGTCTGTCGACTAATGTATATTATCGAACAGAACATTGTTTGTGTGATTTGTTTTATAAATATTATTATACATACACTTTTTTAATTCATTTAAATTGATAACTGACATTTGATCAATCTTTCCAACAAGATTTTTAATCTTTGCAATAAAATCGGATAATCCATCGGAAGTAACCTCTTCGCCTAACAATATGAGAACTTCATCGTCACTTTTAATAATGTTAGTCATCGTAAGATTTAAGATTTTCGATTTTTATACGATAGGAAAGATGAATTAATAAATGTTAAATATAACGAAAAACTGCGTAGAAATATCACGATAACTCGTTCTAAATGAACCTAAGACAGATGAAGGAATACAGAATGTAATATAAATAATCTCAGAAAAGAAATACTACAGAGGGAACATATGTCGACGTAACGCGCGACACGAATGGACGAAACTAGAACTACCATCTTGATACGTCGTATACGCGCAAAGTTTAAATAATAGTTCGTATAGGTTATACATTTATCGATAAATAATCAAACACTGAGTATAATTTTTCATTCTATTTCTATATAATATGCATTGTTTTGTATATTACAGTATAAATTGTCAGCCAGAAAGGAACATTTTGAGCAAAAATTCATCACAATATCCACAATCGTAGTACGTCATTATTTCTAATTTTATTATATTACTTACTAGCACCATCATTTAGATCTGATTTATAATTAAAGAACAACAATAAATGTGAGCACGATTGGCTCGTATATTTTATATAATTTAACAATTCTACGTTAAAAGATATTCATTGTATGAAATATAAATATTTATATTTTGTAAATTCTCCATTTATATGAACAAATTATTTAAAATTTTGTGTGTATAAAATGGACATACCGAGATGGCAGTAATACTTCCACTTCCGTCAAGTTCTACGATGCAAATGCTCCTTTCAGTTCTTTCCTTAGTCTTTTTCCTCTAAAATAGCAATACTAGTGTCCCTACAAATGAAAGAAACGTTATTGAGATCTTACTTTTCTGACATCAGTGTTTGGCTCCCCTGAGTTTATGATTGTAGTGGTTAGTGTGCACTGATTTGTTCCGCGAAGAATTACTTTGCATACACGTTTGTATCACGGTGCGTTGTACCGCGGATATGGTGGTAATAAAAGGTATTGCTCTCTCTCTCTCTTTCTCTCTCTCTCTCTCTCTCTCTCTCTCTCTCTGTGTCTCTCTTTCTTTCTCTTTCTTCTCTCTCTCTCTTTCTCTCTCTCTCTCTCTCTCTTTCTCTCAAAAGTAGTAATAATATTTATGAATACGTTGTAATATAGGTTTAAAAACGTTGAATGAAATATATTAAAAGATAATAGTTCGATAATTAATAAGATATTTTAGAATACATTAATCATTACAACTACGCGTCCGTGTTAAATAATTCTGTTACGGTTTTACTTCATAAAGTAAACCGAATGTGATAGTTAACGTTTTCATCAGGTTAAATAAAAAAGTGCTAAAGTTAGCTTAAAACCAATATAATATAAATAATCAAGATTATCTCTGGAAAATATTCTCTGTAAAAAAAATGGATGTTAATAAAGTTGACGAAGATAATCAACGTAGTATCAACGATGGTGATTGGGTCTGTCCAGATTCACAGTACGTATTTTATAATAATCTTTTTATTATTAAAATAGTTTTTTTCTTTCTTTCTATAAATATCGATATTTTTTATATTAATACATTTATGTTATGAGTGTAATATACAATTGTTACTTTACTATAGGTGTGCCAATGTAAATTTTGCAAGAAGAAGCTCCTGTAATCGGTGTGGAAAAGGTATATATGTATTCTTATTAATTAGAATTCATTTATTAGTTTTTTATTTTAACTTAATGATATTTTGGTGAATTATTTGATACGAATAAATATCCTCTGTCTAAATCTATATGTTATTTTACAAAAGTTTCTTCTGTACATTCTAAATTTTATGATAAAAGATAAATAATGTTTTTATCAATTTTTTTGGTAGTTAACTTTTCTTTACAATTATAAATACAATTTATAATTCTCTACTATTATAAATAATAAAAGTTTGTTAATATAGACAGAGGTGAATGTACAAAGAAGAAAAAACTGGGACAAGAAATTGGTAAAGCAGCTGCAGAAAAAAGTAGAGGCTTATTTAGGTAATCTTTAAATTAAAAGCAAACGTTTAGGTCAGATACATATTATATTAATTTAACTTCTATTTCTCTTTCATTTATATGAACTTTATTTATGTTTATGTATATTTTATGTTACAGTGCGGACGATTGGCAATGTAGTAAGTGTGGTAATGTGAATTGGGCTCGTAGACAACAGTGTAATATGTGTAATGCTCCTAAATTTGGAGAAATAGAAGAACGTACTGGTTATGGTGGGGGATATAACGATCGTGGTATAGTTGAATATAAAGAAAGAAGAGAAGATGACGACGATTACGATGAATTTGGAAGACGTAAGAAAAAGAGGAAGATAGAGAATCGTTCCGATGATGATTCTAAAGATTCTAGGTACAACAGTCCTTCTCATTGTAAAGCCAAAGAAGACGAAAAAGATGAAATAGCTGATGAAGAAATAGAACAAGTGGAAGAAAATGTATTGTATATTAATATATGTTTAGTAAGTAAATTTTTGTATAATTCTTTTACAAAATGACTTCATTGTAGGATAACGATGAGGAAGAAGAAGAAGAAGCAGAAAAAGAGGAAGAGGAAGAAGAAGATGAAGAGGATGATGAGGATGGTGATGGTGATTTATCTAAATATGATCTCAGTGAATGGGATGACTTAGCAGCAGTGAAAAAAAGGTAATTAGATGTAGCATAATCTCTACAATAAATAAAATTAATATTTTAACCATTTAATCTTTCAGCACAAATGGAAATACTGTATCTTCAGAAGAACAACGGTCAAGGTAATGAGGGTAATGTAATAAAAATTTTTTTGCATTCTTTTGTGATAGAAATAACTTCTTGCATTTTTTAAACATTTGTACTTATAAAAAAATCGTATCTTAAACGAATAAAACTCACAATTAATATAAATAATAATTATAATGCTCTGTGTTGATCTTTTCTATTTAACAATACGATTTTATTACTAACGAAACTTTCTTTGGAGTAATATATTTTACATTATATAAACAAATATACATACATACATACATATATTATAAGGATTCTAATACTTACAGAAATGGAGATGATTGGCGTGATTCAGGTACATCCAGCCACTGAGAAGTTGTGCAGAAGGACAGGTTTGACATGGGTTTTAGGGATAGAACTGGTTCTTAAAAACCACAATGAATAAGTTTTTTTGAATGCTATTCTTTTTTTGCACTTTCACAATTAAATTACGATTTAGGCTATAGAATAGATGTGCGTTGTTAAATAAGGATTAGTAAAGTACTGTTTTAAAAAGTATCTCAAATTTAAAAATATTACTTTTACAGGCAGAAGAAATTACTTGGAGCAACAATAAGTCCGTGACTAAGAACATACATATAATGCGGAAAGTTTAGTGATCTAATGAGCACTTTTAAATAAAGTGAAAGATAATATAAAACTTCTTGCAAAGGAAATCGATTGATGTAAGCTTTAAATTTGTGATCAAATTGATAGGAAGAATGATATGAAGGAAAAGGAAAAAAGAAAAACGTAGGTTGTTCATCTGCGCAATATTGCCATTTTGCATAATAATGCAAAATTTATAAATCATTAAGCGTAGATAAAATTCTTCGCTAGTCAAAACAAGATTTATGGTTTTGATGATTCCTTCTAGATACAATTTTCATAGATAAATGACGTAAGATATGACGTTACTTTAATATAAAAGCTGAGTATGTGAATTTATAGAAAATTTCAAAGCTTTGCAAAAGCACGGAATAATTGTAATGGCTTCGAGTTTTCAATTGTGTTATTACAAACGCACTAGGTCAATGTAAACATATCACTGCTTAAATTGCTCAGCCTGCTTTTGTAATATTTTACTCTTCACTGCTTTAAAATATTTTTTCGGTCTCTTTCATTTTTCTATATCTATGTATAAATATCCGAATAAGTAACTCTATACTATGTAGTATTAAAGAAATCATTCCCTAATGAATTCGGATGTGTTCTCGCATTATCAAAATGATAGAAAAAATATGTTTTCCTTAATTAACATAGATTTGAGTAAGTCGAAAGCAATCGAC